TGCTACTGCTTTCACATGTTTTCTTATATTTCTCTGATGATCGATGTAGGCAGAAACGTCATGCTACGGGATGTCCACAACATGGTGGCGAAGATGAAAGAGAAGCGAAAGAGGGGTGCTACCGTTGAGGAGCGGTTGGAAACCGTTTTGCGAGGTGTGTGTGAGAGTCGAGGAAATCGTGCGTCCGTGTTCATTGACGATGCAAAGATCACACAGACAATCACACTTCAAACAAGGCAGATGCGGCGCTGATTTAAAGCTTTCCCTGAAGTTATGCTAGTCGATGCTACGCACAATACGAATGAGTCACGCTACAAGCTGTTCTCTTTCATGGTGAACGATGTATATGGCCATGTGAGTATAGGTACCTTTCGCTACTCGCTCAGTGACTCTTGTACACGATGCAGCTTCGAAGTACCTCCGGTTACACAAGTGTCTTGCTTGAGTACTGGAGTTACTCTTTGAGGTACTGGAGTTACTTTATGTGTAACTAACTTATTTGTTCAACGTTCTGCATTATTAGGGCCAGTATGTTCATCACAGTCTTATGGAGAATGAGAGCGCGGAATGTCTGACAGATGCAATTCGATCCTTTAAATTTCACAACTCTTCGTGGGAGAAGGTCAAGGTAATAGTCATCGACAAGGATATGGGCGAGCTTGGATTGCTGGAGGACGAATTTCCGGGTGTGAAAATTATTCTCTGCCATTTCCATCTGAAGAAGTATATTCGTGCTGAAATGGTGAAGCGTGAGTATGGAGGACCCTCGAGCTTTGACAAAGACCAAGTGGAGGATGCTGTCGACATGATGAGACTTGCTGCTTCTCCAGAGAAGTACATCAAATATCTGAAGTACATGTACTTCCTGCTCGATAGAGTTCAGCTTCGAGACAGCGACACTATTCCAGAGCCTAAGCACCCTTTCTTGGAATATTTCATGCGAAATTGGGACTCTATGAAGGAACGATGGGTGCTATATGCGCGTTCTGATGTACCCCATCTGGGAAATCACACAAACAACAGGTACAATGGCTTTCGGAATGCTGCTTCTAAATTAGTACTGAACTTGGGCCGTTTTACCACAGACTGGAATCATCGTGGGGTCATATCAAGGATATTTTAAGGGCAGACATGGCGTTGGATGAATGCGTCGATACCTTGATGTTCTTACAAGCCGTTGCCGAGATGGAGTACGCCAAGAAGATAACTGATGTTGGTCAGATGCGCTACGAAGGTGCAGATGAAGAATTGAAAATTCTTGCCCGTGATGTAAGTCCCTATGTGTACCGGCTAATTGAGCAGCAGTACTGGATGTCCAAGGATAGAAAGACCCATTACGAGATAAAGGAACTGCAACCAAGTTTGTTTCTTCTTACTGGAGACAACCGTACAAGTGTATATCACGTGGATACTTCGGTACGTGAACCAGTGGAACTTTATCTGTAATCCCTATCTAATTTTATGTGTTTATTGAGGTGCCTTTAGCGATATCAGTGCTCGTGTGTGTTTATGCGAACAATGCTTTTACCATGCCGCCACGTCATGTATTGGCGTCTAATGAACGACAAGACTGCTATTCCTATTCGCAATATCGCGTCTCGGTGGCAGTTGGTGTGCAAACTAAATCAACCAGCCGCTGAAGAAGATATCCCAGACACTAACTTTGCGTGCAAGGCTTTTCAAATCTGCGATTCTGCAATGGCAGCAAGGAATCATCAGGTGCTGAACGGAACCACAAAATACAAGCATGCGCTCCAACGCGGAATGAGTATTGCCGATATCATGAGCAGAAATGGAACTCACGTTTTTGGAGAGATGATGGTAGCATTGGAGAAATTCGAGGAGGTGATCAAGGATGAAGTAGCTCCGTTTGTCGGACGCGTAGACGATCGCGTTGAACCGCTGTCTCAGGTGGCTTCACTGCCTTTTTCGTTCGATAACAATGATTCTGCACGCGATGATACCACAAGGGTCTCCTACTCTCTGACGGCTTTAAAGTGTGACCACAGTGATGACGAGCAAGCTCCGACGTAGCGTGCAGCGATACCTAAGGAAACCCAAACACATCCAGTTACAGAGCAGAAAGTGTTGGGTACCTCTGCAGTACCTCCAGTCACCGAGCCTGAAATGTTGGATACTTCTACTGTACCTCCAGTCACTGAGCAAGTATCGGGTGCTGGTATTGTATCTCCAGTCACCAAGCAAGATGTATTGGCTACTTCTACTGTACCTTCAGTTACAGGAAATACAAGTGGAGATCGGGTGGGTGTCATTCCTGGAGATCCGCACAGTAAGAAACCGAGTTCAGTCAAGCGGGATCATCCCAGTAGTTCGTCTGACTCATCTGGATCCTTCATCGTATCGAAGAGCGCCAAAAGCAGAGGGCGCCCAAAGGTGAGAAAGAATCAAGGGAAAGCCGAGAAGCGACAGCGTGTCGCCCGCGGTAAGGAAGCTGCGTCACGACTCGTGCAGGGGACATTGGTGCCGGTTCCGAGTGTACGGAACATCGTGAAGTTTCTAGACAACGACTATACCTACGAAACTGCGAAACGGATACTACCCACGCTCACAATCCGGGAAGTTCCAAAGTCAAAAAAGGCGATCGCTGGTATCTACACGGAAGACAAGTGCACTACTGATATTCGGTTTGTCTTCTCTCGCGAATTTGTGGAAAAGGCTCAAATGGCAATCAGGGGGTTCAGGAAGGATGACTGTGAAGACGACAGCGTCGGCGTGCGTGTGTCACGTTTTGGAATCTTTATGCTTAAAGATATCAAGGCAATGGATCGGTGGCACACGTGCATGAAGCTTCTAGCGCAGACAGAGGATGCTATGAATTGGGCCGTAAACACCAGCGTTAAGCGCATCACAATTCCAGATGAACTGTCTGATGGAGTTGCTACCGAACCAAAAGAGCGTGAAAATGCAATCAAGCAGCTTATGCTTCGAGGCGGACGCGTGACATCGTTTGGCAGTGTACCGTATCGAGCCCTACTGACATTTTGTGGGAGTTCATGGCTTGACGACAATTGTATGGGGCACGGGATAGCGCTGCTACACCGTGAGCATCCTGATGTTGGCGTCGTCAACCCTCTCTTCCTGCGTTTCCAGCTCCGAGAGCAGCAGCTTACGACTGTCAAAGCCGGCAACCCGTTCGCGAAAACAAACAAGATAGTGCTGATACCGTTGCATATCGACAACAACCACTGGTGCGGTGCTGTGATCGATTTTCGGAGAGAGACCCGGAGAATCACGCTCTGTGACCCGCTTCAAGCGTCGAAGGCAAAGTACTACGACACCTGTGAAGCCCAACTGAAGAGTATTTTTGGAGAACTATGTACCCTTCTGACAATCAAGCGAGAAACACGTTCACGACAGCCAGATGGATCAAGTTGCGGTGTCGCTGTCCTTATGTTTTTCGAGTGCTACCTCAGAGGAATTCCACTGCCAGCCAAACCAACCTTACCATTCATACGATTTTTAAGGCTCCGTTACATGCTGAAATGTCTGATGTAGCTACATTTAGTCTTGCCAAATGAATTCATGCACATTAATGCTTCACTGTCTCGCTCCTGACCTAGTTTTCGGTGAGGTGCATTGCTGTCACTGAGAGTTTTCTAATCTAACGACAGGTGATGATCCCAATGTGCGATGGTTAGCTGATCATACATGAGTTCTAGGTCATCCACTGGATGGACTTGCAGGTGATTGCAGCGTTGGACATGGACGAAAAGCGATCAGCTCACAACTTGCTCGATTACCGGTAAATGCAAAATGTTTCCTTGTCTTCAAGGAAGCTTATACGCGCACCAGGCGTGTGTGTGGCCTGAAAAGACCAGATCCGGCCGCACTTTGGCCAGCAACTCCGTCGACAGCTCGCGAGAGAGAACGTGGTGGTGCGTTTCGTACTTGAAACCCGGGTGCTCATAGGTGACGTGGCCCGCTTCGCGCAGCCGTTCTTCTCCACACTGGAGGTCGTCAACACGAAAGAGCGGCAGGTGTGTGAGCAACACTACACTGCCAGTCGTTCGCGCTCGAAGGTCCTCAAAGTTGACGCTCTCCAGGAAGCTGCACAAGCAGAAGGAGAAGAAAAGAAAATCGTTCGCTCAGATCTCCAGCAATTGCTACCTCTTAGCCTCCGTCTTGACTGCTCGACTAGCCACATCCGCGTCCAGCGCCATCGTATTCAGCCTCACAAATGTGTGGCCTCCGATTTCGTCAATCCGGTTCGCCTCCCCGAACGTGACTTCGTAGCGCTTCAAGTCCTCAATCCTCATGTCCCGTCCGAACGAGGTATCATGGTTGCCGACCTGTCAAAAATCCTGTCAGCAATTGCAACCTCTTGTAGCTCCAAACTAGTCGCACCAAGTACAGCGTCTTCAAGGGCAAAAAGCTGGAAAAGACCCGAAAGAACCACCCAGCGTATTCGCCGTAATCCGCATCTGACGTCCAACGATTCCTTTCATCGAATTGGTCGCCGAGTACCAGCGCCACATCGGGTTTGTGCTCGTCCACAGCCGCTCGGGCGGCTATATGCACCTGCCAGTCCACCCAGAGATGCTCGAGCCATGAGCGCCTCCTCTTACCCAGCAGATGCACGTCCGTCACCACCAGTCCGCCTACAAGTAAATCAAGTCTTGTGTACCTTCAAGCAACACATCAGTACAACAAGTCACATTCATGCAACGTGCATGGCTGGATCCACGAGAGCCACACGATCTAATGTCTACAAACGATGTAATTTTTGAAATCAACTGCCAATAAAATACCGAATATTACCGCTCTGAATTGTAATCGGTACCTGTAGGACATCACTCGGTCTGGAGGCACTCGGACCATGTGCCCCTAACTCTCGCTTAAGTACGAGCTGCTCGGTACCTTTAACAACGCTCTGCAAATTTGCCAAAAAAATATAATAAAAAAAATCCGCCCCCGAAACGACGTCCAAGTCGCGATCTTATTTCCGTGGGGCTGCAGATCAATTGGACGGCCGACCTGCAATGTCGTACGACTCGGTGGCACTGGGTATTGTTGGCAGCCCGTGGGCATCGCCGCGAGGCGAGCAGCAAGCCGCCGAGTCCTTCTACTACATGCTGGTGTTCCCGATGCCCTCACCGCGAGAGATGCCACGCGTCAGCTACAGCGAAGTGTGTGAAATGCTACGTGGAGTGACGGCTGGAGGACCAGCACCTGAGGCGCGTGCGATTGACGAGCTGCGTGCAGCCTGGGAAGTTAAGTTTCGTTCGGGAGCACCCGTGGCAGAGGACATGATCCCCTTCTCGGCGTTGCAGGAACTCATGCGGGATGTGATCATTTCTCGGTTCGCTGCTTTACCTGGAATGACGATTCGTACGTGCACTGAAGCTCAAGGCAACGGCAGGATATTTTTGAGCTTCCGTCCTACTCTAGCGTTGCTGAAAGCCACAGGAGAACAACTTAAGGTGCGAGTACCCGCTTCTGTTGCTCTTGAAATAGATAGCAAGACAGACGCAAAATTGTGGGGTGAAGCTGAAGCACAGGAGGAGATTTATCGACTCTTTCTAGCAGGTAAAATCTCCGCGGAAGACGCGCAGATCTTCGACTGTGAGGATAGCGGGATGTGGTCTCGTCGGCTGCGTGCTTTGCAGATATTCTCCACAATCAAGCCAGGAGGAGAGGCTCAAGAAGAGGTGGTGTATCTCCCATTCCGAGATCTTGCTGCGCTTCGCTACGTGTATCGCCAGATTGATGACGAAGGAGACGGAGCTGGTGCCATTGGCAGAAGTACCGTATCACCATTTCGCATTGTGGACAAGATCCGACTGACGAAGGCGCTGATAGATGCCGAGTTTGACTGCGACGCTCTGTTAGAGCGCGGGCTGCTGGACCATCATCTCTGTCCACATACCCACAGAACTACCTATGTGGACACGTCCCTGGATATAATTCGAGTCCAGTGGGGAGAGTTCCCAGCCCCCTGGAGAGTGTTTGGGAAGATTTTTCAATGCTACCGAAGCGATGACGATTTACTTCTTCATGTCCGGAATTACTTTGGAGAACAGCTCGGCTTCTGTACGTCTTCCCATGTGGTACTACTCGCTGTGTCTTTAGTTTTGTCTACTAACACAAGGTGTCGTCTGTCCCGTTTAGACTTCGCGTTTGCTTCTTTCCACGCGAGTGCGTTGAGGACACTAGGGCTCGTAGCGTTGGTACTTGCGATTGTAGCAGCGAAGACTTCGAGGCCCCGAGAGGTGGAAGCTGCCTTCTGTTTGTGCTCGTGTGCATTTCTGGGAATTTTCGTGCGCAAATGGGAGCAGCAAGAGGTACGGCTTGCCTCTGGCTGGTCCGGTAGCTCTCCAACGGACGGCGGCAGTGGTGTTAATCCACTCCTGCAGTTACCAAGGCCGCAGTTCCGTGGACAAATGCGACGCAGCCCTGTGACTCTGCGCTTGGAACCGTATGCGCCAGTCGGGAGAGAGGTTGCACGTCGGTTGGTGTCGACACTGGTGCTTGTGGCGCTTACTTTGCAGCTCACAGCGAGCAATGCTGTGCTAGTGGCGAGCAACCGCTTTCAGGCTCTTGCGACTGAAACATCCTCACGATTTAACGTGGCGTTAGGTGTAGTCGCACTAATAAGCAAGTGTGCGACGCCGCACCTCGCACGTTGTAGCCGAGCGCTCACCAACTGGGAAAATCACCGATTGCAGCGTGACTTTGACTCTCAGCTTACGTTTAAATTTGCAGTACTCCACAGCGTTAATTGTTTCAGTGCGATCTGGGGACTGGCATTTCTGCGACCGCTACGCTGCAAACTTGGTCAGTGTCAACAGATCGCTCATGTCGAATTCAATATGTCGAGCAATGACCAAGCGGCTCGCATGCTACTGACCCTGCTCGGATTAGATGTAGCTGTCGGTTTGTGGGGTCTACGCTGGGCAGTTAGGAAGATGGTTTGTGGTGGAGGGAGCGGATGGGGTCAAATATCGACAGAATCGTCTATGAGCCGTCTCCGAATGGAAGAGCGAGTGCAAGGAGTAAGTCTTCGATCGACAACGACGCTGCTGGCGACAGCGTCAACGGGTTCAAGTATCGAAACTGACTTATCGTTGGTTCCGTACGAGGGAGTACTCTTCGATTACGCACAAGTTCTGGTACCTCTGGGTTTTGTGGCCTGGTTTGCGCCCTTAGCTCCACTTTCTTGCTGCGCCTTAGCCTGGCTTGTTGTAGCACTACAAATACGCGTGGATTCGCACAGTTTGTGCTACGACACGCAGCGACCCTATCCAATTCAGACACTCTCTCTTGGTTCATGGCTTGGCTACCTGCATGTCCTGCGAATTGGTGCTGTTTTTCACTCTACTGCCTTTACGCTGATGATTTTTTTGGATACGACGGCTGCCAACCTTGACCACAAGGCATTTGAACAGCGTGTGGTGGCCATAGGTGCTATATTCGCTGCTGTTGGCTGGGTATCCTATACATTGAAGGACCATCAAGATATCACCGAAGAGCGCCGTCTCAAATGGTTGAAAACGAAGCAAGCGGCACTGGAGAGTAAATATCTTGGACACCTCGGTACTCATCTCGCAGCAAGCGCCAAAGCAGTATTACCTCCAGGACGCGTCTTCCTTAATGGCGTACCCCGCTACGTGGTCACTGGTGACAGGGGCGAAGAAGACGCTGCTGAAGAACTGCGCGATCAGTGGCGTCAACAGCAAATGCAGATGCTTGGGTTGGAAAAGAGGATAGCGGAACTTCGTGACAGTGAAGATGGCAACCCCAGCAGCGTCGGTGTACTTTACGTGGAAGTGCAAGGGGTGAGTTTGCTTCCGATTACGCCCATTCACTCGTTTGTACAGTTTTGCGTGCAGTCTGGCACTGCTGGAAGTGGAAGCTCACGAGGTGACTCAATGAGCACGAAATCGTTGAAAGCGTCCAGGGCTGCGAAGAAAAAAACTGGTGGCCGCATCGCTTCCCCTTTGCCAGCACAAATAGCCAACACGTCCGTGAGCAAAAAATGTCGCTCCCCTATGTGGCACGAGAGCTTCGAGTTGCCCATAACAGCCCTGGGAGACGTCCTAGCCCTGTGTATTTGCGACGGCGGGCCAATGATTCCCTCGCTGAGGCAGCAGCGGATTTTGGGGCGTGCTCAGCTTGGAATTGACGACGTTATCACTCGCACGAACAACACGTCGTTGCCCTCCGCTTCGATGCCAACAGTGGAGTTGCTTCCAGGAGCTAGTGCATCGGAGACAAAGGCTACGAAGCCAACGGTCCAAGCCTTATCCGAGTCGTCATCCTCTGAAAACGAAGACGAAGCCGGTGCAAACCCCATGTCTCTACCCGTTCTGAGTACCCGGGCAGTGACGTCCAGACCATCATCACGCACGATAGATGTGCCAATGGCGACGTTCGAGCTGCCATTGGAGCTGCCCGAGGCGCTGCGGCGCACGAAGCAATCTGAAGTGGCCAGGCACGGACCTTCACGCCTTGCTCTACGTTGTGGTGTTCGTCTCAACAAGCTGGGCTCGCTTCTTGTGCATCAACGTCGACTACGTGAAAAGGTTGCTTTGCTGCGTTCACAGGAGATTCAGCTGTCGAGTTGGGGTGGACTGTTTAATAGCTGTACGTGTGATTAACAAAGTAGACAGGTGTGTGATGGTGAATAACTTAAGACATCCAATTGAAATGGTCTATCTAGCTGAATCTGGGCCAGCTCAGCGGGGCTCCATGGACTCGCGGACCCAGCAGAACGTCGGAGACAGCTGCGTGTCACGAGCGCTCTGGATCTGGTCCTGTTGGTGGTGACGGTATCGTTGTTGGGATTGCAATTCCCACTGCGCCCTGGCAATGACATTGTCATTGCAGGCGTGATCAGCATTGTCGCTTCCAGTGCTGCCGTCCGAGTCGGCCTCCGTCATGTACTTGGACAGCGTTCGCTTGCTGCCCAGCCCCTTCATGTGACTCACACCGACGTCACTGCCACCTCGTCCAGTGAGCCTTCTCATGAGGTACAGAATGCAGATAGTCGGGAAGACGTTGGGGATAATGTTGTAGAGAATTAGATACACGATCATCGACATGGCAGCGCCCGCCTCGTTGAGTATCAGCGCCAGGATTCGCACCACGTCCGACACGATGAAGATGAAGATGGCGAGCATGAGCTGATTCAGTGATTTTTCCACGCTGGCAGCTGGGACAGTTCCACGAGCAAGAATCAGGCGGCGACGGAGACGGAAGCCCTGGTATCCCAGTAGGATACCGTACGCGAGCACGACAATCACACCTGAATATGTCAGCACGCCTCGGAGCGTACTTTTCATAAAGCTGTACTGGCCGTAAATGTTGTCACTGTATCTAGCGATTAAGATAGGCACGATCACGCCCCAGAGAACCAGCAGCGCGTTGAGCACAGCGACGATCCTGGTCATGCGGCGTCGTGCTAGTCGCTGGCCTGCCGAGACGACGCCAGCCCAGCAGACAGCCAGGTAGGACTTGCAGAAGGAGAGCAGGAGCAGCGAGTAAAGGCGACAAACGTACATGACCTCCCAGGTCTGTGATGTGGGGTACCAGATCCACTCGACGGCCTCAGGAAGCTGCAACAGCGTCGACACGAGTAGCGTCATATGGAAGGCCTTCTTGGCGCTGGCGCTCGAATGCAGGAAGTGCAGCGAAGTGCGCCACGCGACTGCTAGCGATAGTGCCACGTATAGTAGCAGCGACAACCAGCCGCAGACCTTCAGCGTCACCAATTGCCTCTGCAAAAGCGTATCACCGTCCTCATCGTCTGTCGCGATATTCGTCGCGGAGGCCGTCGTCAGTATGGAATCTGTTCCTGTGTCCTGTTCAGTGCTGCCAAAAGCAGAGCAGACGCCCGAGAGTACCGCCGCTAGCAGCAACAAGGCGCCTTCTAGTCGTCTGCGCGCAGACCCTGCGAGCACGAAAGTCATCCTCGACGCTGCGCTGCTTTTACAATGGCAAGCGTGTTGACCGGCTCCTGACTTTAGGGTTCAGACAGCACCACACCATATGTACACTGTTTTCCTCCCTATTAATAGTACTTTTTGTAGGGAGTCCCTACAAGTTTTGGTAGGAGCAATATCACACCAATAGTTCCAAGATACATTGCCGGTTGGTGAAGGGGTTGCGAAAAGCATGGTGAATTAAATAATGCAGAGGACTGAGCTGGACGCGCTCCCAAGGACTTGCCAACCTACCAAGCAGTGGTTGGTTCTCAGTTTTGCTTAGCTGGGATTGAGTAGTTTTGTGAGGCATGGGCTGCAAATAATTAACTACGATACTGGAAATGTCTTACTGAAAGTTTTCATCATAACTGAAAAATTATTCCATACAAATATTGCCATATTATTTTCACTGCAATGTATTATTCGAAAGGCCTGCTTGGACGTGGGGCGGAGAACCTGGAGCGAGCAGACCTTCTGGATGCAGTCAGCCAGAATAGCGACTCCACCATCTAGCTGTACACCGTGACAATTCCTCCCGACTGACGTTCGGTGTCGTCGCCGAGCCACATCGCCCGAATCCTGTCTCACGATGTCTTCGACAGTCAAATCTGGAATGTTCCCACGTGACGTTCCACCCGGGGTCAGATTCGTGTTCATAGCTCCAGACGACGTTCTAATCATCGGCATTCCCCGTAGACGCTCCACACTGGTGCGTTCCCTTTCCCTTTCTTCTCGACGTTCGATGCGACCAGCCAGCCCTTCTCACTTACGCCTCACTGCTCGGTCAGTCCTGTTCTTTGTAATAGCCCATCAAGTCGCTGTAGCAGTCGATCACTAGCACGACTAAATTCCAGTAGCACAACACAACCAGAGCCTCCCCATCCAGCCATAAAGCACTCCTTCGACGCCCTCATACACCAGGTGGGGCAAATAGATGAGGATCGACGCCAATAGCGCAGTCTACCAGTATCTTCCCACACCGAAATCTTTAACTCGGCCCACGACCGCCAATACAGCTTCGCTCGTGGCTCGTGCATACCGGCGGGACGGTCCCCACAGCAGCCGAATCGCATCTGGAACGTGGAAACAGCAAGAATGGTGGAACGTTTCATACAACTTCCGGAAAAACCGTCATGTAATGCCGAAGCGGGACTCATAGTCCGGTAGCACTGCAATCGGGACTTGGAACAGCAATTTCACGAGCGCACACGCGTACTACGGGGGCGGTACAGCGGCATCATGAGCATTTCTCGCTGCCACCAGATAGCGGTCGACGCACGTGTACCAGACAAGTAGATGACACAGACGTTCTCTAACGTTCCGTCGAGGAGCGCCCACGACACGTTGCGAAGAGGCGTTTTAGCGACCCAAATCACAATCCCCATCACAGCACTACCGGCGATCTTCATCTCGTCGGCCACTTCTAATCACAGTTAGCTAACTCACCAAATCCACCCACATCGTTAGCGCAAACAGGGAAAGAAAGATAAGACGGAAAATGAACGACGGAACGTTACAATTAAACGTTAAGTGAAACGTGGAGCATACAAAGGGAAAGAAAGTCAAGACGGTGAATGAACGTTACGATTAAGCGTTGAGCAGAACGAGAGCTACGAGCAGTAACGACAGGTAAACAGAAGGGCCTATAAGTTACTTGTCGGCCTCCTTCTGGGCGTCTTCTTCCTTGCCTTTGGCTTATCGCCATCTCCATGCTCGACGAATTCTTCTTCTTTATGCTCTTCTTCGTCGTTGTCCGCGGCATCTTTGTCACCCTCGGCGACGGCACTGGGGCTCTCGGTGACTACTGCAGCCTTCTCTTCCTCTTCATCCTCGTCTTCGAAGTCGGACCAGTCTTCGCGGAGACATTCCGTACTGGTCGGAGGTCGGACGATGGGAACTTCGTACGTGCCAGCGTTGATTCGGGCCATGTTATCGTTCTGGGCCAACTTGACGGTGTGACTATTGATGGGCGTCTACCAGGGCTCCTCGCTCTTCGCACCAGCCTAAGCTGTGTTAGGCTTCGCACCAGATATGGTATCACAACGGACACGAGCCAGAGCCGCGAGCGAGAGTCGACTCTTCTCGTCAGCGTCCGAGCTCAGCGCGTCCGTCGACTCGAACAAGGAACGCATGCTGAGGCACCTGTGAGTGTCGATATTCGACGGGACCTGGGCGTTCTCGAGCGTGGCGTTGTATCGCTCTTTGTCATTCTGTTTCAGACACGAGATTTTTTCAGTGATGGGTCCGTCGTAAAGGCGACCGTCGCGTGTGGCTCTGCCGGGTTGGCCTCCGAGTCAGTACATGCCGAGACGCTTCTCCAACATTTCGAGGAAGGCCTAGAAGTCCCACGTTTTGATGCAGATGCTGGCGAAGGTCCAGCGAGCCTAGACGGTGCGCATCTTCAACTTGCGATGCTGAGTCAAGGCCGCTGATGTAGCGAGAGGAGCGTGGAGCGCCCATTTTCAGACCGTACGACGGTTGGCCATCTAGAAGCGCCAGTGCGCGCGGTACACGTAACATAACTTGGTGGGGTCGTACCAAAGGGCCGTCCGGTCCACGGGAACACGAGACGCCAGTGTTTCTTGCCGAGAGCTACCGTCTTGGCCAGAATGGCTGCAATCGCCCGACAAACAGGGGCAGAAGCTGCAGGACTTATGATAACAAGGTGCCGTATTCGTTGGACGGGATGTGGGCCTTCTTGGGCGTGCTAGTGGAGTGGACCTTCTTCTCGGATGCCGTGGGTGCGATCGTCACTGCTGGCCTTGCGCTTGCCTCGCGTCGTGACTTGGGTGTCTTCTTGGTTGGTGACTTCGATTGTTTACTGGACGACGACGTCAAGGCCGACTCGAAGCGCGAAGAAGCTGTGTCCGAAGGCGCGGGGAGAGTCACCACGGTTCATTGCAGGGAAACGCCAGGTTTCCCGTTTAAGGTGTCCTCGGCGAGCTGATCTAGGAGCTGTAGACCCGAAGACATGCTATTGACTCCGAGGTGTGCGCGCATCTCGGCCCAGAACTGTTGCTTGAGCGTCCGTGTATCGTCGCCTGGGGTGTCATGCTCCTTGCGATCGAGGGCGGCGTTAAAAAAAGTCCAAACACGCTTCAACTCTGCGATGGAGAGTCGCGTCGACATGAGGAGGAACGCGCTATAGAAGAAGTTGAGAGCTGAAAGGTCGAGTCTTTCATTTAAGTTGGTGCCAAAATGCACGCAAGAGGGTCGACAGTTAAAAAATGGCGTTGGCAGAGGATGCAATGATGTTTGTTGACTCGGGCGGACAGGGTGTCGGTTGAAGATCAGCCTAAACGGCCAACAGTTTGGAGGAGCTGTGTCTGGGATGGCGTCACTTGACGATTCGAGAAGATGTTGGAGGTTCCACGTTCCATTTCTTCGTTGGACCTCCTTTAAGAGCTTCCTCTCGTTCCAAAACTCACAAATTCTGTCACTCTGTCGTTCAAATCTCGTGACGTTCCCAAACTATTCAACTCCGTAAAGAACAAAGAACAACCCGATGTCGTTCCAAAAATAGAAAATATGTACACGTCGCCCAGTGTCTTGAGACTAGCAAGTCCCAAACACTCCGGTGCAACACCAGAGCTGCAATCGTTCTAACAGGTTTCCTCGCCAGCTAGAACAACACTTCAGCGTCGTCAGCGTCGACATTGGCTTCAACCAATCTGACGTTTCGACGCAACTCGGACAGACCTCTCTTCTTCCGGTCCGCGTCCTCAAGTACACTTATCATCGTTCCAAACTCAAGTGCCAACGCTGCTCGAGACAACCAGAATGTCTCGTATGTAGCAGTGAGTAACAGATACTGCAGCTCACGCTTCTCAATTCTCTTCGCGATCACGTCCACGATCGGCGACGACACTCCAGAGAAAACCGTCTCCTCTTCGCCAATTGACAGACGTTCCACGAAGCTTAAAGAAGGCAAGCCCTCGACGTCCAAGTGACCCGTTCTGTCTTCGGCATCGTCGTCTTCGACACGATTAGACTTCTCGTCCGCGTAAGGTCGGCTCCAGTGACCTTGGAAACGCTCAAACGGTTAACGCTCACCGTGACACCCTTGTTTGGGTGTGTAGGGATCGAGATCTTGAAGGCGTTCTCCCCGACTTGGTCAACAACACGGTAGGGACCGTGTCAGGAGAACACCTGTTTTCTCGTTCTGCGTTCCCCGGCTCGGGCTCTAAAGTACTGGTACACCCAGACAGCGTCCCCTTCCGCATACGTCACCTTCAGTTGGATGTCCAACCGCTGTTCGTGTCTGTCCTGTGCCTTGAGCAGTTGTCGCTCTACTAGACGACGAGAGCCGCGCAACGAGCGATACAGTTTCCTTCGGTACGTCGCGACTTCGTTACGCTTCCAGTCCTTTCCAGTATTCAGGAACGTCAGATCAATAGGTAGTACATGATCACGTCCATATAGACTAAAGAACGGGGTGCACCGAGACTTTCGTGGTACGCCGTCCGATCCGCAAATAGGATCCTAGGCAGATACACGTCTCACTCGATCTGCGTCTCATTCGCAAACATACGCAGCATCCTCATCAGCGTCCCATTGAAGCGTTCCACCAGATCTTGCGTCTGGGGGTGGTACGCCCCTCCGAGCAGCTTATATCACAAGCCCGGGACGTCGATGGATCACGCCGACGGTTTGTCGAGACTTTATCACCGACCTGATGCTGGTATTATTCGCGCCGTCCGGATAGCGGACCTTCTCAACAACAGTGAGGACGACACTCCTGTCTTGCAAACGCCTACCTCGGACAGAGTGCCTACACAGGGTGGAACGCCAGTCTTAAACGGAACGCTGGTTCCGAACGTCGCCGACGTTCCAATACCAGTCGGAGAGCACGCATAGACTATGGATCCTGATAAAAATACATAAAGAAGCAACGAACTGACCGAGGGTGTGCCCGCAACGGCCGAGCATCTCTCTAAATCTGAACAGGAGGAAGACTTGCAAGGGAGGGCTCCACAGGCTTACCCATCACCACTAGATGTGTTTGGGTTGGACTATGACAAGTTCGTGGCTGAACAAGAACGTGTGCCCTGGATGCGAGCTTTAAAGACATCCCTGAAAGACAGAATCTTGGCGATTGACCCTCAACTGAGAGTGAGTGTACTGAAGATGTCTCCGCACTACCTGATTCGAAACGGGGTTCTGGCACGTCTCGTTAACCTAGGAGCACGTGCTGGTCCAGCCAGAACTATGTCCGCTCCAACAACTGTCCCGTTACCATTCGTTGAGACGGTCCTGCATTATTGTCACACCGACATTTTCTCTGCCCATTCGGAAAGAACGAAGACGACG